AGGAAAAATAAATTCACTAATTTTTGTTTTAATATTTTTTTTAAATTACTGTCAGATCTCTTGTATGTAAATGCTTCCCAATTCAAAATTTATTTTAAAAATTATAAATGTTATATATTTTATATATTTATTCGAGAAACTTACATGATATTTTACTTCGTCAATTTCTTAAGAAAAATGGAAAGTTCTGCATCAAGTTGCAAAACAGTTTTACAATAATTATATCATTTCCTTAACATATTTTTGTTTCAGTATTAATTAAAAAAATATGTTTAAAACGTTAAATAATTTAACAAAATTTAATTAAAACAAATAAATTAATATAATTAAAAAACTAAATTAATTCAAGATGGGAATAGAAAAATTAATGTGAATGGAGATGCTGAAGAAAGGTTGGAAGGGTAATTGTGATTAAAAAGTAATTTTAAGTTATAGTAAAAATTTAATTTAATTTTTATAAAAATAAAAAAACTAAAGTATATTTAATCTAAAAATCAATTTCACTTAACAACAACAAAATAACCTCTCAGAGAACAATGATTTTTATTTTTTTTTAATCTTAATTTCAGCAGGTTGATTTATCTCTATAATATTTCCCTGTGACAAGAATTATTATTAATTATATATTATATATATATATATATATATATATATATATTTTAAGTTAAGGTTCCTAAACAAAATGATTTCGGTTAAACACAAGTCAACGTTCTGTGGAAAAATAATATGAAGGTATAGGAAACATTAATTAGAGCACAGAGCACAAAAAATTTAAGGATAATTAAATATATAAACAGCGTGTTACGGATAATGACCGTAGTTCTATATGGGTTGTCAGTTAACATGATATGTTAAAAAAGTTGACTATAGTAATATTAAGGTAGTGATTTAAAATAATTAAAAAAAGGTACACCAATCTAGATAATCGGTGACATTTTAAAGGGTCTAATTTAGTTAATGTAACAAAATTATTGTAAATCTTACTAATTAAAAATAAGATATTAATTTGTTATAAAAAAAAAACAGCAAGTGTCTTCTCAAAATATAAACAAATTGTGTTGAAGGTAAGACAAACACGATAATTACTATTTCAAAGTTACAACTTTACTAAGGTCACTAATTAAATCTTAAATTCAATACTCAACTTTATTCGGTCTTATTTTTTAATGATTTTTTTATTGATACGACTTTTAAACGTATAATAAATATTTTCTGAGGAAAGGCTGTTGAAGATTATTTGAAAGTCTGAACGAATACACTAAATAAAGGTGTTGAATGAAACAGTGTACGTCAGTGATCCAACCAGGTTTCGAGTTTCATTTATTTGTTTTGAGCGAAACATGACATGTAATGGATGCTATGTTACGTGTGGTACCCAACAAATCCTTTAATTCTCATTCATTTTGTTAAAAAGCTTTTAAAATACGTTAAACTTATATTAGGAATCTGAAAGCCGTGACGGTTGTTTTTTTGGAAAAACACTTTCATCAATCTAGGGTTTACCTTTTTTTTTTTTTCAATTCTAGTAATGTTTATAAAACAGTGTTGGAACTCATTTTTGTGCTCATTGCATTGGAAAGAAGACTATGGAGAATGAATTCCACTCCATTCTAGATGTTGAACCATTCTAAAAGAATACTAAAATATAACCAAAAAAAAGACTTTTCAAGAACTTGAATTTTAAAATAAAAATATCAAAAGACCAAACAACTAGGATCAATAAATTTCAAGTACCCGTTAAATATTTCACATAATTTTTTTTTAAAATAAATTAAATATTTTAGCTGACTTTGTCATTTAACTTGACATCTATATAAAACTTTATTTCTTTTGTATTAAAAGGACACGTTTTCTGGAAGGAGGTTTTTCTTCTGAAGCTCTAACGGAAGCACTGTTTGCATTCAAAGCCTGGCTCATTTTATGGGCTGAAATTCTTTTTTATTGTTCTTGGTGAAAGCCCAAAAATAAAATCTGGCCCACAAAAAGAAAAATGAGCAACAAGAAAACAAACATCATGCATATTTAAATTATTTGCTGATTATTTCTCTTGTCCACCATTAATCCACCTGACATTTTAAATTCACAGATGGTGGCTGAGAAATCAATGTGAGTGCAGCTGGTGGTAAGACCAGCACCAGCAAGCAAAACAATAATCATACTTATTATTAATATCATATCTTATATAATTATTAAAATCAAAGTGTCATAATTGTATAGAAAACTTGAAAGATTTTTTGGTATAAAATACTATATAATAGTAGTGGAATTGTATATAGTCTAAAGAAATTATTCTAACCCAACACCGTTGACGATAATTTAGAATTCACTCAATAAAAACATCTAAAATGTTTTTTACGTGAATTTTAGTAAAATTGGAGACTATTAAACATAAACACAAAAACGCCCTTTTATCTTCCATTTCATCAAGCAAAAAAAAAAAAAACCTAATGTTATACTCTTTTCTATTGATACTTCAATATCTCTAGATTGTTCACTAAAAAAATCTGAAGACAGCTATTTGTTTTATTAGTTCCCCCCTATTTTTATTAGATATTAGAATACAGAACATATTAAATTAAACAAGGATATTATATATATATATATATATTATGTTAATAGATGTAAATGATTAAATACACACTTACAAGATAATTAATTTAATTGACAAAAGATTATTTTTAAAATAAATAAAAGAAATACTTTTAAAATATAAAACTACACATACTTTCAGTTTTTTCTTTTACATATAAAAAGGTGCACATCCTTATAACCCTTTTATCTCTTTGGGTCTGGTTCTTCAATATCAGCACAGCACAGCAAGGGAAGGTTCGAGTGAGTATGGCGTCTTCATTATCAGCTCAATTTGTTCATTGTCAGAACTCACTTCCACGGGCTCAGGTCTCTGCGTCCTTTCTCTTTCTCTTTATCCTTCAATACTATCAAGTGTACGGTTTTGACTTTCCCTTTTGGAAGCACCCAAGTCGCTTTTGTTCGATATAATTTATGAAAGAGATTATTTTTCATACATTTTCCCATTAGGGGTTTCGGATTGCAAAGTTTTCAACTGTTAACAATGGTAGAAGTTTGCTGCCATTTTTTCAGGGTAATTTGAGCCGAGATGTGTCAAAGGTTCAAAGGCCACGTGTTGTCTGTTGCGTTACAGGGTCACGGCTTGGTTACGGTAAAACATTGGCATCTAGGTCACACTATGCCTTGAGGTTCCCTGTGAGGCAACAATCTGAAGCAAGGTCAATTAGATACAGGAGCATGACATGTGTCAGCGCCACAGACAATGTAAGTTTCTAATTTCATATTTGTGGTTTGGGATTGTGTTAACTGAAATGGTAACTAGTATTATTACAAGAAGACAGTGGAGAAGCTAAAGGATGAAACCTTCAGGGTATCTTAACTTTTACTCTTTGTTCCACTGGGCGTCCTTACAAGAGTGTGAAAAGAACATGGTTTTCACAATTTCTTTACAAATTTTTTAAAATAACAAAACAAGTAGGTATTTGTAATTATCAAAATTAGAAAATAGAAGGAGAAAATATTTTCTTAACCAAGCAGACACTGAATAGTTCTTAAAATTTAGACCACTTGTTGATCGAATTATCATTCAGCATTTGGATTTGTGATTGTTCATACTCACGACGCCGTGTTTGGAATCATATTCAATGGTTTAATGTGAGAAAGTCTGGAAAGTGCTCAATAATCTCGTCCGCTGTGATTAACATGATTTTCTTACATGGTTTTGATACATTTAGGCTCTAGAGCTTCAAGCCAAGGTGACAACCAAGTGTTTCTTTGACATAGAAGTTGGGGGTGAGGCTGCTGGCAGGATTGTTTTGGGCCTATTTGGAGATGATGTTCCCAAAACAGCTGAAAATTTCCGTGCTTTGTGCACAGGCAAGCAATCAAGTTTTTCTGCAGCATTTTTCGTGTTGCAGTTGGATTTCTACTCTGAAATGGATTGTGTAACATTGAATTTTATATATCAAACTTAATAATCTTTTAACAGGTGAGAAAGGATATGGTTACAAAGGAAGCTCCTTCCATCGTATAATCAAAGATTTCATGATTCAGGGAGGAGACTTTACGGAAGGAAACGTGAGCTCTACTTTTTGTTTGTATGCCTCCATATATGTAGTGATGAGTGCATTTACTTTCGAACTGACATGCCATGTATGTGCATCAAAGAGGCTACTGAATTTTATTCTCGCTTAGAATATGCTTTTATTTGCTGCAGGGAACTGGTGGAATTAGTATCTATGGTCCAAGTTTTAAAGATGAGAGTTTTGCCTGTATGTCTCTCTATTCTGGCCGGATAGTAATATTCAATTATATATTTTTAATAGGATTGCCTGATTGGTATTTAAAATTCAGTTTAATTAATCTGCTTACATTTCTACTTTCAACACTTTCTTGCAGTGAAGCATACTGGTCCTGGAGTTCTAAGCATGGCAAATGCTGGTCCTAATACCAATGGTAGTCAATTTTTCATTTGCACTGTAAAGGTGAGAGACATGCACTGCCCCTTCTGATTTTTTCAAGTTACTGATAGATAAATTTCAATAAAAGTAAACTCAAAATTCTAATCAAGCTTAACTTCAATATCCACTGACTGGTTGTTTATTGTAAAAGCCTCACTAGTCACTAGGGAATGTATTTATCTAGTCTGGTTCCAGATCTAAGATACGATTTCTTCACAGATCTGGACCATTTTGCTGTGGATGTTATTTATCGTATTCAAGGCTCAATTATTAACCTAGAATTTGACTTCTATAAAATATCAACTGTCTTTATTTTTTATGCAGACTCAATGGCTAGACAATCGTCACGTTGTTTTTGGACAAGTCATTGATGGCATGGATGTTGTTAGGACACTTGAATCCCAGGAGACGAGTAAATTAGATGTCCCTCGGAAGCCTTGCAGAATTGTTAACTGCGGAGAACTTATAGATGGTTGATCCTTACCCGGAATTACTTTACTTTTCTTCTGATTTTCAGTTCATTTCCCAATGTTCTGATTGTCTCTTATTAGTCATGTTAATAATGGGTTTGGATTGTCATTAGTTGCTGCCTAATTTCCCATATTTTGTATGACAAGACTCGTGCTTAATCTTTAGAACAATAATATTCTCATTTCCATTTCTTTATGCTATTGTTATTTGCGTTTACGTCACATGCTCCCAACAACATGATTTACATTTTTAAGCATCACTGTTTGTGGGGAGCCAACTGCTATGCACCATGGTTGGGATTGCTCGATAGTAAAAATTTGCTTATTCAAAGCAAAATCTATGCAAGGACCATGGTTTCAACTGCTTGAGATTGGATTATTTGCTGGTGGTCTCCCTCAACTTCCCATATCTCGGGTAATGCTTCTTTGATGTTATGAATGCTGTTCAGTGCATGGTCAGCTCCCGGCACCAAATCTGAGCGTCCCACCTGTCGCCAAGGTGGGTAACTTGAGTTAGATACGTACATAAATCATATAGCTATTCGATTTCAAAAATTTCTCAAGAGGAATCATGAATAGTAAATTATAGCTTACAATAACTGTGTTAAGTCCAGCAGCTTTCCCACTTGCAATGTTTCTAGCACTGTCATCAAAAAACAACTGCATAGGATGGAAGAGGGAACACCAAATAACTATAGTAAGATATTCCAAGATTAAAGGGCCAAAATGTTGAAATATAAATAAACACACAAAGGCATAATTTGCATGCGTCACTTGGTTTATATAGTGTTTGCATTTTTTATCAAAAACGTGCACGCGTGAATAATTTCATGTCATATATGTTAAAATGACGCAGAAGCAACTTGTAAATGCGTAAGTGATGCATGCTTACTTTTACACTATATGCTAAGCAAAACACATGTAATTGATTGTACCGTTTTCCTTGGGTCTACATTAGCAATCTGAATGGCAGCTTCAATGGCTTCAACAGAGGGTTTGCAGAGGATTTGTGTCTTGGAGTTAAAGCATTCACTCTCTACCTGGTTACAATCTTCTTTGTTCAACGAGCTGCAGTTGCTCCATGCTAGCACGCGATTATCAGTTGGTACATCTTTGTGATCAGGAGGATTAAGCGTTTCAAAGCATATAATACTGTCAAAACATTCTATCAAGCCCAATCTGTTGAGCACTTGGTGTGCATGAGCCTGATCTGCATTAGTGAATACCTGAGATGGCCATTTCCTAGTCTTAGAATTATATGGAATACTCTCCGCTGAACAGACTAATATATAATATTTACACATACTATTTTACGCTGAGGCATGGAAAACAGAAGGTTCCTTAACACTGGATCTGGCTTCAGTTTCCAGTATGGTAGTCTTCCATGCACGTAGTCATGAAATTCATCATTATCAAATTCATAACCAAAAGCCTGAAATGCATATTCTTGTAAGAAAAGAACGATGAAGAGGAAACCGAGAAAAATGGGTATTTCTCTACCTTTAGTCCTGCCATAGTTGTCCCATATTCCTTGTAGAAGTCCAGGCAAATCTTTGGTACTTCACTTTCTTCCATATGCAAGTGTTTTAACATGTACTCTGTAAACAAGATTGGTTTAACTGAAGTACATATTTTGCATATTATCTTGGCACTAGAGGTACTCTGTAAACAAGGTTGTTTTACCTTCTATGTTCTTCCGACATGCCAAATTGAGACCTGAGCTCAATGGGTAGAGAGTATCGTCCATATCTGTGGAAAAAGTTGGAACAATACATAAACAACACTCCCCGTTTTCCTTTGAAATTGTAACAGAATACGTTTGCAATGGCTTGGTTCAGTTGAATGGGGGAGACATGTGATAAAAGAGGGAAATAATAGCTTGATTGTATCTCCAAAACTCCTATTTTTTAAGTTTTCTTTCCAATTTATGTAGGAGAAAAAAGCATCATTTTCTCTCTTATTCTGTCAAAATCAAGTAAAATTCATCAAAAACTGGAATTATCATTCTACACTTTCTAGTCCCTACTATTTGTTTAATTATATCATCACCATCGTAATGTTTGCACAGCTTAAAAGAATTGCGCCAAAAAAAATAGTAAATCACGTGCAGTTTCCTAAAATTGTACTGCTCAGGAAACATGTAAGAGCGCAGAAATAGAGTAGCATCATTCATACCGAAAAGCAAGCAATCATACTTGTATCCAGCAATCACCCAAGAAGCATCCATCTCAAACAAATTCTAATCTGCATCAACATGCAATAAGTTTGTCAATTCCAATGTTCACAAAAACCCTGCTCAATAAACCATAATACGTGTGGAAAATCCATTGAAAAGTATAAGAAATTCAGTATAGGATGCAGAAGCTGCAACTGTTAGTTAGCATCTTAGTAAACATGAAAAACCATATATATGGGACAGGGATCCAAAAGCGTTAATATATATTTTCCTTATGCCATTTAAATTTGAAATGCAAATATCATCACTTTCGGTAACTTAATGGTTTCAGTTTGAGTGAAATCATAAAGGTAAATGAAACAGAAATACTACTATATTCCAAAATAAAAAAAGTTTCTGAGCAAGGTTACCGAAGTTGTTAGTCTATAAGTATTGAGGACTTACTTGGTGAACCAATGAAGAAGATGAAGAGGTATATATATATATATGTGATCCAAACCTCCAATTTCTAGCTATAACAGGTTCCACCTATAAAAACAAACGAGCCTACAGTGAGTTATTTAATGTGGTCGGATACTGATAAACATCAATAATGGATGTGAAACAAATAATGAAAAAATAATGAAGGCTACGAACAGGAGAATCAAGGACAAGATATTAATTAGAGAACAGAATAAGAAAGTACAATAATCGCAAAGAAACGAAACAACACTTGTGTGGTGGCGTGTTTGAAGGTAGCAGGAACAATTAATTAGATAGTTGCACACTCACGTGAATCTATTTATACGAGAGCATGCGTGCATGAAACTGTAGAAAGACCCGCCACCAAGTGAGAATGTACGAGGTGACGATAAAGAGGTGAAATCTGAGGTGGAGAAGATGGAATTTTTTGCACCATTTGTAATTTTGTTGCTCTTATTCATCAAGTCCACAACTTTCAACTTAGGATTTCGTATTATTTAATTATGATAAATATACGGTCCAATGCATGTGGCCCATGTGTGTGCTAGCTCAACAAAATCACAATATTAGGCAGCAATCAACCTTCTCCATATATGCATATAAATTTTGTCACACCAATAGGATAATCTTTTGCTTCTTTGGATGTAGAGATGGGTGGTGAAGATGAGGTTTATTCCTTTTTATGAAGAATATTATAAGCATCAACTTTGTTTTCTGTTACTCAAATCAAGCATATCAACCTCAACATGTTTTTTACTTTATGCCTTTTGCAACCAAATCAGATACCCAAACTCCTGGGGAATTGTCCAAATGCATGCATCGAATTTTTCATTTTTTTCTTTTCTTACTTTTGTATGTATTTTCCTTCGTAGACNAAAGTGGTGAAATCTGAGGTGGAGAAGATGGAATTTTTTGCACCATTTGTAATTTTGTTGCTCTTATTCATCAAGTCCACAACTTTCAACTTAGGATTTCGTATTATTTAATTATGATAAATATACGGTCCAATGCATGTGGCCCATGTGTGTGCTAGCTCAACAAAATCACAATATTAGGCAGCAATCAACCTTCTCCATATATGCATATAAATTTTGTCACACCAATAGGATAATCTTTTGCTTCTTTGGATGTAGAGATGGGTGGTGAAGATGAGGTTTATTCCTTTTTATGAAGAATATTATAAGCATCAACTTTGTTTTCTGTTACTCAAATCAAGCATATCAACCTCAACATGTTTTTTACTTTATGCCTTTTGCAACCAAATCAGATACCCAAACTCCTGGGGAATTGTCCAAATGCATGCATCGAATTTTTCATTTTTTTCTTTTCTTACTTTTGTACGTATTTTCCTTCGTAGACACTTATGATCACCACAGAACAAATACTAAATAAAAACACTTTTTTTAACGAAAATTCAAACTTTATTTGACTCCCTTGTAAAGATTAATGAAATACTTAAAAGCAAATTAATGGTAAAAAAAACTTTAAGGAAAATAGTAACAAAAATATTATTTAATATTGAAGATAATGACAACATCAAAGTTTCCTTTTCACAATTTATCCCAAAGTATATTACTCCTAGAGAGTGTAACATATTCGTCGATTCCACTTAGAAGGAAAAAAAAAAGGCTTAGGTAATATCCCATTCGTTTGTTTTATGTATCAGTGATTGAGCTACACATTTTATTCCTACCAGCACTGACAAAAAAGATAATCTTAGGCCAAGAAAATTTGTAGTAACTGATATAAACAAAAAAGTTTGTAACAACAAAACAAAAACTAATTTTTATGTAAATTCCACATAGAAAAAATGCTTTCTCTTTGAAAGTTTTCTTAATAAATTGAATAGTTAAAACGTGCATTATAACTTCACATAGAAACACTTACCAAATAAATAATTAATTAACATTTTTATTCTGTACATTTGTCGGTTATTTTTATTTCATCTAATATTTTAAATAGAGTTAGTAGTTCTTTGAATACTAAGATTTTGTGAAGCTATATATGTCACCAAAATTAATTAGTGTATTTGAATAAGACAAGTTATAGAGTTGACGGTGAATCCAGACAAAAGGAGAAATGAAATGCAAAGATGATCCAAACAGAGAAATAGTGAAGGGGAACCGTAGCCTGCGCAAGAGGTGGTTATTAAGTTTTATGGGGTGTAAAAAGAAGAAGCAACCCACACAAGGATAACATCCTATGAAACAGGCCCGAATTAGCATAGGAACCAGCCCATATCCAATCCTTCAAACATTGAATTAACCAATCATCATACTGATACAATTAACAGTAAAAATAGTTTAAAAAACCTTTCTATTTAAACAAAGGGATTTTCGCTTGCATAAAATTAAGGATAAAGACTACAAAAATACATGTCTTTTGTTTGATTTAAAAATAATTATAGGACCACATATAATGATTATTTCAAGAAATATTAGTACTTTTAGAGTCTAAAGTTGGTTTCTGTAAAAAAAAAAAAAAAAAAGAGGAGAGTCTAAAGTTGTAAATTAGACAACGTCCTTGGAAAGCACACTCCAAACGACAATGATTTGTCTTGAAATATAAAATTGACAAGTCTTAAGCATGTACATTTATATTATTGTTAAACTTGATAGAGCTTAAAGTGTTATTTATTTAAAGCTATTAATTCAGCATTTTGATAAACATTAAAAATATCTTTTAACAGATTAATGAAGTATAATACAGGACTAATTCAATGATATTGCTAAGTATAATTTATTTTAAGAAAATTATAAACTTTACATATATTAGAAATATATATTAAATAAAATGTCANCCTTGGAAAGCACACTCCAAACGACAATGATTTGTCTTGAAATATAAAATTGACAAGTCTTAAGCATGTACATTTATATTATTGTTAAACTTGATAGAGCTTAAAGTGTTATTTATTTAAAGCTATTAATTCAGCATTTTGATAAACATTAAAAATATCTTTTAACAGATTAATGAAGTATAATACAGGACTAATTCAATGATATTGCTAAGTATAATTTATTTTAAGAAAATTATAAACTTTACATATATTAGAAATATATATTAAATAAAATGTAACTATTACAAAATCACACATGTATTTAATCATTATATAAATCTATTAATTAAATATGCAATATATAATTAATGTTGTACACACTTTACTAATATATAGCTTATACAGATGTTATTTATTTAATATGATACACAATTAATATTCTTTTTGGCGCAGGATATATAATTAATATTACACATGTTTTATGAAGATAGTATTATCTAATTATTAAAAGCACAATATTCCCCCATTATCTATAAATATAACATATAGTTAATATTGGGCTATTTAATTTACATATTTAACACACACAACACTATTATTTATTATATTTAAGGTATAACTAATATTACGCAGAAATCTATGTATTTAATATATTAAATAGCTTAAAAGATATCAAATACAAATAATTCAACTTTCATAAACACTATAAATTGATAATGAAACAATAATTAATTTGACGGTTGAATAATTATATATTATCAAGTGTATATTAAATTTCGTAAAAATATTAAAATGATAATGTAATAAACATATTTATTACACATAATAATATTATATATTATATTTAATATATAATTAAAATTACAAACAAGCTTATGTATATTTAATATATTAAACACATTGAGAACAATATCAAATAAAAATAATTTACCTTCCATAAACACTGTAAATTGATAACGCAACATTAATTAATTTGATGGTTTAATTCTAACTTCATATCATCTTGTGTATATCAAATTTTATAAAAAAATAATGAAATGATAATTAAATTATACATTCAAATATATATTACATAACTTTTAATTCTAAAATATATAAATGAATATAAAACAATTTTGAATTGAACTTTTTTTTTATAAATATGATAAATGTAAAATGAACATGATAATTCTTTAGAGTGATTTTTCAATTAAAGGTTACCTAATATATTTTGGTAGGTTGTGTAACTGTTTTTTTTTCACAAAAATATTGATGTATGTATTATTAATATCCAGTGTTGGTTGATGCACCTAAAAATGTATTATATAAATATTTAAATTTGTTAAGATAAATGAATTATATCGCATCCATGTTATTAGAAGAACTAAATTACTTTAAATTTTAATGGTTACAACTTTTTAGAGGTTGTGTGTAAAAATAATAATGTATTGAGTATCTTCTCAGCTAAGAATCTCTCATGCACTGGACATAGAAAAGAAAACCTGTCTTATAAAAAATAATGCTTGACAGTGATATGAACAAGTTCAAGTTTTGCAATATAACTATAAAATATTTAGAAGAAAAGTTTTTTTTTTTTTCATTTGGGATAATAGTTCTTGCTTGGAATAATTTTTTGAGATAAACACATTTAATTTATATACAAATATTATTTATTTATATTTTTATTATTTAAACTAATGAAAACACATGCAGATGTGTGTTCACTTTTTATGATAAGAAAAAATATTTTTAATATTTTTATTATAAATATAACTAATTTTTATAATTTTATTTAAATATTTTTATTTATTTTATTAGTTTTAAACATGTGTCTTTGAGTTGATTTTTTTTATGTATTTATTAAAAAAGATTTAAAGGTTGAAAAATTAAATAATAAACATTTTTAAGTTTATATTAAATTTTGAATACAATCCATGTGAAAACTAATTTATAAGTTTGGAAAAAATATTAACAGTAAATTTTATAAAAATACAAATGATAAATTATGTGCAAAAGCATATAGTAAACC